CTAGCATCCTGGTCGCTAGGCAACGCAAGTCAACGCGGTGACGTCACCAAGGGATATCGCGGTTACTAGGCAGCCGTCAACAACTCCGGACAGCGTGGCTAGCAACAAGGGTGCCTATTACGTGGCCGTATTGTCCGATCGAGGCTACATAGGGAGCAGCGAAGGCTATTCACAGTCAGTTGTACTGAGTCAGTCAGTGAGTCCTGGAGCTACCGCCGAGTTAGCCAGCAACTAGTTAGTGTATTCTGGCATTTGGAGTGTACTAATTGTGATACTGCAGATAGCAGTAACCTTAAATCTGTAATTTGGGTGATTGTAAGTGCGAATGTGAAATAAAATTCGCTATACAAAATACGGCGTGAATTTATTTGTCGCGATATACGCCCGATACGCGACTATATGTTTGATTTTGTAAATTCAACATTCAGTTTCAACACTACAATCTAGATACTCATCGCTGAAAAATAAGCCAGAAAAATAATCTCTCTTATTTGTAGTCTTGATTTATTTATGACAACTAATAAACAACTACACAATTAAATTTCTTGATGTAATTTTTTACTTATTTTGTTGTGACTTTACTTTTTATTAATTATAGAAACATGTTCCTGCAAGTTGCCAGTCACATGTGTATCATAATACAGCTCTCCGTTTGTTACACTTGGCTCTGTGGCCGTCGAATGTGGAATGCATACAGTTCCAATTCGGGAGAATGCCAAGTGCAAACAGAAGTCATTTTGTCAATTAAAAATGTGCCTGATGCCATCCAATTGAAACCTAAATCAACAACAAGCCACTGTCTTCAGTTCAGAAACTGGAAGCTAGTATGAGATATCAATTGACCAGACTGTTAGATTGGTGATGTATCCACTTCCTTGATGTAAATTTTGTTAGGTTCATAACTGGCTTCTTACTCTACTATATTTGTAACTCGGAGCATACTACATGCACTACATAAATTGAAATGATACGTCAAAACTGCACATTGTAGGGTCATTTCTGAAGAGCTGATAGTTGCTCAGCTGTTCAAGAAATCACCCATATTTATGAAACCAGACTGTTACTGTGTTCACGAAAGCCCCCACTGTAGGACCTTATCCTGAGGCAATACAATGCAGTCTCCTTTTTCACATTCTTATTTCTTGAAGTTCAATTTTAATAATATCACCATACTGTGTTTAGATTGCCAAGCAGTCTTTGTTTAAGATCTTTTGACCAAAACTTTGCAAGTCTTCCTCATCTCTGCTATGTATGCTATGTACCATTCCATCTCATCCTCTTTGGGCTCATCATCTTAATACTGTGGGGGAACAATACAACTAAGGAAGGTTAGTGCAGTGGATACACTGGAGAATCTAGCCTGAAGCACCAGCTGTCATGACCAAGGTTTTCATGGTGTTCACCAGTCCCTGCACGCAAAGTCGTAAACAGTGCTTCAATTATACCATGAGTGTTTCATTCCAAAATCCTTTCCAGTTATCCATTATCTACCATCGTACCATTTGACACTATACACTGTAGAAACTGACATGTCATAAAACAGCCCACAACAAGAGAATAGTACAGATTTCACCTTCATTGGTTCAGGCACCATCTCAGAAGTAGGCATTTCAGTCTGCCAAACATCCTTAATCCCACACACATTTTAACCGCCATCAAGCGAACTTTGCACTGTGGCTTCAGCTCCTTTATTTTGAGCAGCAAGCATACAGCAGCATGTGAATTTTCTGCACTATTCTGCAGAAACTTATGTTATACTGGTTGGTGGAGGGGGGAAAGACCATGAGATGCTTTGAGCATAGACACTGACCTGTGCTGTATGGGTTTAATACTAGTGGGCATGAGTGGTATATAGTATTTCAACAGGAAATGATTTCTCTCTGTCATAATGGTGCAGATTTTGAGAAAAAATTATATTGAAGAGAAACTCATTTTGAAGAGTGACTCTCATGAACCAAATCTATCTGGGAGTGAAAATGAACTAGTTTACGACACTGTAGCAGCTGCAGGTGATTACAGTAATGCAAGTGGAAGCTGAAATAAAATTGGTTCAAGACCACACCCTTAAAATTGAGGTGGTGTCCATCCTTTCACTGGAGGTCTTGATACAAGTTCAAAACCTGTCATCGTTGAAGACGTGTCATCGTATGGAGTACATTAAAGGGGACAATGATTAATAGGTATTTTAATTTTTGTCAAAGATTACAGGGGCAGACAACAGAAAATATTTCATTACTGCTGGAACTAATTATGCTGAACAGCTACATCACACTATCATTCCCCCGAACTCACTGACACAATGCAGTAGAGTTCTTGAAAAGTTAATAATCACATAAGCAATCAACAGATCATTGGCATTCTATGGAATCTGAAAGTTCGTTGTGGTCAAAACAGCTCACCATGGTCCCTAGGCTGAGCCATATTCAACCAAATCCAAGGCCCTGCATAACATTTCATATGGTGAGTTGCTGGAGGATCGCCTGACAACCCCTTGTCAGCTGCTTCTGCCTTGTTCAGTATATTCAGAACAACCCTCCATATCTGGAGGGTATCTCCTCCATCTTCATCATGAGGATGCACCATGTTGTGGTGACTAGGAATCCAATGAACATGCATGATGAACTTCCCAGCAAAGCAGCCAGAACAATATACAATGTGTCTGATGTCTTTCACTGGACCAGGAATTTTTACCACACCAGGGTTCAGTTATGCAGTGACTAATAGTGGACCATTCAACATCTTCTGTAAGCAGAAACTGGCCAGGTGTCGTTCCTCTCATAGCTAATAAAACTCTATTTACATCTATGATACCACATGCTTCTTGTTACCATATCTCACTAATGATGTGGTTGTAAAGAGATATTTATACGACTGTTTTTGCTTGCCTGTATGTGAAGAATATGATGCTAATATTTAATGTATGTCACCAGCACTCATTCTGTATGTATAGTACTCCTCCATTATTCTGATACAAATGTATGGGAGAATGACAGGAAAGCAACTCAGTCCTCAAGTGTTTCATAAGATGAATGTTACATGGAATATGATAAAGCAGAGAGTGTACAGGTCTGACCTACAAACAAGATCCTATTACCTGTTCTGGTGCAATGACACCTGGACAATTGGGCCCAACAAGGCGAGATTTGGACTGTTTCATCAGAAGCTGCTTCACCTTTGCCATATCATGTTGTGGAACTCCTTCTGTGATACATACTATGAGTGGCATTTCAGCCTCAATAGCTTCAATCATAGCTTTTGCTGCATGAGGAGGTGGAACATAAATAACAGTGGCATCTGCTCCTGTTGAATCTTTTGCCTAGACACATGAAACTCAGAATCAAATGAAAGAAAAATCTATGTATACTTCTAGATAAAAACAAAACATTTTTATGGTCCCAAAGAAGATTAATGTTTTCATGTACAAAATTGAATATTTATGCTATTCCCTATTAAATTCATATATGTGAGATTTGTGGTTCCCACAGCAGTGACTTCAAAGACTACTATCTTCTGGAATGTGACACTATGTGGTTTGACAGATAAGCAGAAAAGTTTCTTACACCCTGAAGATGGCTGCAGCAAGTTTGTCCAAAACGCTGTTACCTAGTCATCAAACTACAAGTACATGGTGTCTCATCTCAGAAAACAGGTTCAAGGGTCCAAAAGTAGTTACCATGTAAGATGGTAAATACACAACACAAGGCAGAATTACTTGACATACTTACCTCTTTCACTGAATTAAAAACTGGTAAGTTGAGGTGGGTTTTTCCACCCTTCCCTGGAGAGACACCTCCTACAACTTTTGTTCCATAGTCAATAGCCTGCTTACTATGAAGTGTTCCCTGTTTGCCAGTGAACCCCTGACATATTACTTTAGTAGCGTTGGAAATTTTAAGGTTAGCACGAGTGGCTGTGTAATTTGTACGAACACTGTTCAGTCTTGGCCCTGAAAATGATACAACCAAAATAAACTTTGTGACAAAGTTCAAAATTGCGTTCAATGTAACGTGTCAAAAACTGAATGTGACGTCTAGGTATACAAAAAAAAAGCGTGTAGTGTTTTTTAACTTTACTTTTTTATCACAGGGTGGTTCCAAACTGCCTGGCCATTCAAACAGAAAAGAAGAACCTGCAAATACATAATTCTAACGCTGACAGAATAAAACAAATATAATATAATAGCACATAATACTCATGACTTAAATAAAATACAGTAAAGCAGCACACAAAGAACAAAACCCTGTATTCTGCTGCAAAAGTCATCAAAAAGAAGTTACAAGCAGAACCTTGATATATAGTAATGTAATCTATTCAGTGTGTCTCCTTATACAGAAATATTCACAAGACAGTCAAATTCAAGGGGAGCACAACAGGACGTTGTGTTAACATTTACCTGCCAATCTGTAAAACAACCTTATGCTCGCCGCCATTATGTTAAAGCGTCAACCTGAAACTAAATTAAACTTTTGACATACTGTATGTTCTAGTTTCTACGTCATACATTGTTCCGTCATGTGCGGGAAATCCATGGAAACACAATAACACTGGGCCGTTGCCTAGGAATACCTTGAGGAACAATTGCATTTCCTCAGAGATGAAAGGACAACAGAGGGTTCATTGTATGGCAACGGGAGAATCAAACCATTAAGAAATGTGTTTCATAAGGGGTGGCAAAAGGCTCCTATAAGAGGGTTATAAGAAAAAAGAAGAAGAAGAAAAAAGCAAACACAATTCCAACACCGACAGAATAAAACAAATATAATATAATCGCACATAAACGTCGTGACTTAAATAAAATATAGAGCCGCACATGAAGATCAAAACCCTGTATTCTGCTGCAAAAGTAATCAAAAACAAGTTACAAATCAAAACCTTCATATATAGTAATACCACCTATTCACTGCGTCGCCCTGTAAAGAAATATACACAAGTCAGTCAAATTCAACGAAAGTTATGGAGCACAAGTCGTCGTGTTAACATTTAGCTGCCAAACTGTAAAACAACCTTATAATCGCCGCCATTATATTCAGGTCTCAACCTCAAACTGTCATACTACGAAACAGAGGGTTCGTGGTATGACAGCGGGAAAACCAAAATGTTGAGAAATGTGTTCCATAAGCGGTCCGCAAACGGATAAGGGGATTATACAAAAAAACCGTGTGGAGACGGGTTCGAATACCTCCACCGTGACCCTGCGAATCGTAGAAAGCGACGAAAAGGGAAGTCTCAAATTTTAGACAGTAAAATATGGTCATGAGTCCCAAGGGACTCGGACCCGAGAAAGACTGCGCTGGCAAGGGCCAGCAGCATATACAAAAGACAGACCCGTCCTCTCGTCAGAGAGGGCGCCCAAAAACACAAGACCATAAATGTCAAATAGTAATAAATAGTATATGGTCATGAGCTCCAGATTGGGCTCGACACCAAGACTTACTGACTGACTGACCGTCAGTCGCAATGTGACTGACTTTACAAAAGAAAGAGAAAACCAAAAATACATAATTCTAACACAGAATAAAACAAATATAATATAGCCGCACATGGAAAACAAAACTCTGTATTCTGCTGCAAAATTCATCAAAAACGAGTTACAAGCAGAACCTTCATATATAGTAATACAATCTATTCAGTGCGTCGCCTTATAAAGAAATATACACAAGCCAGCCAAATTCAACGAAAGTTATGGAGCACAAGTCGTATTAACATTTACCTGCCAATCTGTAAAACAACCTTATACTCGCCGCCATTACGTTCAAGGGTCAACCTGAAACTCACGCGTCTATTTTTTTTTTACGTGTAGGGTGTCGTTATGTGAAGAGAACCGCTTGTTGAATTGTTCCGTAAATATTATTTAATTAATACCGCTATATCTACCTTTTATATGGATTGTGTCAGACAGCATAGAAAATATGTCGCTGTCTGTATTGTTGTATGCTTTGCCTAGCAGCGGCTGTTTACTCGCCGTTGCTAAACAATGGTACTTGATTTTTGTCTTTGTAAAGATACTTGCTTTGTCATAATAACGTTTGCTTGAATGTGGGCAGTTCCCACATCACCCTGGTTGCTCAGCTGTTGAAGCGAGCAGGGAAACGTACGTTGCGTCCGGAGCACGTAGTTGGTGCGCGGTTCAAGGTCGGGGTTGATTTGCTTGGGGTAGAATGTGAAGGGCTGCCAGGCGTTCTTGAAGCGTTGCTGCAGCACGGCACCCTTGACGGATGTGGAGGCCGGTGAAGGCGTCTGTGACGAGTACAAGTGACGGGAATATGTGGAGGCGTGCAGTAGAGTGGCGCGTGACAAACTCGCCTTGCACTTTTCGAAGGCCTTGTGTAGGTCCGGTGTCCAAGTGGTGGGGTGGGAGCTCTTGACGCTCTTGACCTCTTGACTTTGGGTCCGAAGACGACGCCGTGAAGTGGTGCCTGGTGTGCTGATGCGTGGAGCAGAAATTGCCTGTAGTAGTTCGATATTCCCAGGAAACGGCGGAGCTGACTGACGGTTTTGGGATGTTGGCAGTTTTGTAGACATTTCATTCGTTCTCCCAGCGGTTGGGAACTTATATTTAACATAGAAGTCTCTTTATTGTACAGTTACTTCATTATATGTTTGAAACTATCATGTGTAAGTTTTGGGAAATTCATGATTTGACTTAACTAAAATAAACACACTTCCATGTTTTGGCTACAAGTGTTGTATTTTGTAGTAAAGAAGCAGAGTGTAGTGGTCATCATGATATATGGATGAAACAGTTGAGTTACTGGATACATATGCATTATATAAATAAAAAGTACAAATAATTAAAAGCCCATAAAATTAAAAAAAAAGTATTAATGAAGGCCCCTTATCCATACTTTGTTACATATAGAAACGTTTTAATGTGTTATCTAAGGCATGGGTAACCCCAATTGCTCTCCTTATAATAACTTTGCACGGACCAAGTAGAAAACACCGTTTCCAACAGTAACTCTGTTGTGTTCATATCTGTTGCTGCGGGAATTTGTTTACTGATCCGCTGCCTAGAAATGGGTTGCATAATGCAGTTTATTCGCCTATTGTATTGCAGTGGTTGTACACACTACAGTATATTATTAAATGTACAGAGAGTATTTTAGCAAGCACACACTCGAGGTGGGAGATGAGTATTCCTTCCCTGAAGTTGGGCCATCTTCTAATGTAAAATTAATTTCAGAGCCGCGCTATCTAGAAAACTAGCATCACAGCCACTGACAAATTTACTTATAACCTCAGTAAGTGATCTGAAGAAATTGGTAGTCTTGCTGATGACTACAGTCAGTATTTTCTTCGAAGTCACTGACATGAACTTGCATGCAAGTTGCAATATCATGACTCTTCAGCAAGCATATCAGACAATGGAAAATGGACCCGAACTTTGTGAATGGTATCATAAATTGATGCATGACGTTATGAATATTATATGGGGAAAGGAAGTTGCAATGATGCCATATCAAACTGTGTATTTGAATGGTGATAATCGCCATCAGTTTAAGACAAAAAGTTCGTGAGGTTTGTGAGGGTTTCTGCTTGCTTGGTTTGTTCTTTGGCCCTAAGATGGAGGACGTGCATTCCTGTGAATGTTGAAAGCCTTCTACCAGACAGCAATGATGTAATATCCCAGAAAAGAGTACTGTTCAAAAAGCTTAATATTCTGGCAGCAGCATTGTCTGGGTTCGTTTTCATTGGTTTTGTAACAGTAAATCTACTTGCAGTTTCTGTGAACTGTAGTCATACCAGACTTTAAACAGTGACCTCTTTGTTGTATATTAGTGTCCTGTTGCACTGATTCATGTTCATAATGTGTATATATTAACAGTCTTCAAGTGCATACAATCCCATCTACCACTTCTACACTACATGTTTCGGCAGTATGCTGCCATCGTCAGGTGTATTGATCCGTTAACCATTTCACTGCTTGCCTTTATATGTCCATTTACAAATAATATTAAATTTGTATACGTCCTTATATAATAATAAAGTTTATGTGTTTAAAACTTGTTAAAATCGATTATCTCATCATCATCATCATCATCATCATCATCATCAGTAATCTGTCAAGACGACAGGTCCACAGTCTCTNGCAGTTTCTGCGTAATATTTTTAAAATTCGTGTGTATTATTAATCATCCACATGGGGGTCGTTCTTATGTTCTAATGTTGTGTATATTGTGTCTTATGATGTGTTCTACTCCTGTGCCTGCGTGCGTTGTATCATTGGATGTGTAGATGTCTAGATGGGACTGTATGTCGTTTCAATGCTTTATGAAGACTGTTGATATCACCAAACCCAGTCTTGTTCCATATATTTTTTTCATTGGAAAACAATAGGCATGGCCAACAAAACAATTTTCCTATATTACAGCAACTGGATAGCCATTCTGTTTTAGAATACTGTTCCAAATTAAATTTCCTCACACATAATTTGGTTTGTGGTTTAATTTCTGGCAACTCTCATGTTGTTCGTCCTCTTTCTATAATTATTTTATTTTCAGAAAAGTCCCTGCTATTAAACTCCTGTTTTAAAAGGCTTTCGATTGCACAGTCGCAGTCACGTTGTCTGCCAGCATTCATTTTAGCTGTGGCCTGTGCGTGTAGTCTAATCATGACCCTGCCCCTCTTACTGCAATATCAGACTTGCTTCCCTTAAACGCTGAGAGCTTCTTTCTGATGCGTTAAAAAACGATCACAAATACAATCTTACGCCATATAAATATGCACTTACAATATTTTAATAAAACTCAGTGTTACCTATAACACCCAACAAGACTGAAATCACACATAAATAGTTAATTTTCACATAACCATCGAAAGAACATATTCGTTAGCTGATCTAGCCAGCAAACCGAAATTTGCTTCCATTGCCCACTTCGGATGGGACGAATTCTTACAGTTTAACGAAGGAAACATGGTCCGTCCCACCAAGCAGGGTAAGGGAGGAGGAGGCATGTGGCCTTGAGCAGGAACACATGCTAAATGACAGTATTCAAATCCTTATTATTCAAACTGAATTATTTATATATGACTTCTTTTCTTTTCGTTTCTTAACTACGGAAGGAATGCTTCCCTTCCTTCCATGCATGGCACCCCACTGCTGTGACCTTATTATGGAATGAGAGAACTCAGTTTCACAAACTTAAATCATCAGCAGAAATTGTATTTCATGGAGGTTGTAGGATACACCCTTTCAGACTGTAAAAGAAATGAAATGAATGGACAGAACATTTTGATGGGTTGAGGTCTGACAGCATCCAAGAAAGATCTCAGAAATAAACTAGAGGGGAAAAGACGTTGGGGGCATCTGAAAACAATACAGTTTTCAAGAATACCGTCTTCTAGGATGTTGCACCATGTAGATCTTGTGTACATCGATGTTTCAGAGCCACCTGCTCATGCTGGTTCCTTGCTTGCGGATTTTTCTACCCTGAAGATGGAGGTGATATTTTCCTCTGAAATGTCAGTTTACACAAGTTCTACATGGCACCACATCCCAGAGGACGGTATTCTTCACAGTCAGCACCATGAAAACCTCAAATCTTACATGATACAAAGATTTGTTTTGTAATATCTGTAACAGGTCTCGACAGGCCTAATACTAGAAAGGATGACAGTTAAAAGATTCTTATGTTCAATGTGGATAATATAATTTAATACACTTTCTCCTTGCATTAATACATGATGTTAAAAGATTCTTATGTTTAATGTGAATAACATAATTTAATACACTTTCTCCTAGCATTAATACATTTTCAGAGTTGGTTATCTTAAGTGAATATATCATCATTAAAGTAAAGGAGAAAACAGAATACTTTTAATCACATATAAAACATATATCTTTCTGTAACAACTTCATCTTTGGCAGGAAATATCAAATGATTTTTACTTCTGTTGACTGAGTTGGGAAAATGTATATACTCTCATGAAGCACTGACAATCCAGTAAAAAACATTGAATTTATGTATACAAATATCTACCAATTAACATAATATTAATACAGCCACCATGCAGTTAGGCCAGTCCTAGTCGTCTCATCTCTTTCAAAAGTTCTGCACCCATTTGTGCTGGACTTTTGGTGACAATTACTCCAGCCTGAAAAGAAAAAATCAGCGCTCTTTAACTCACTCACTCCATGACACTGGGTTTCCCTGAACATGCCACTGTTATTTGGTCTATAACAATTTCTCCATTAAGTTAGCCACACAAGTCTATACAATTTACGCATTCAAAAACTTTGAGATCCAGACTAATCTAACATAATTCTCCCAAATGGTCTGTACATCATATTCCCATAAGCCTTTACAAACAAAATAAATACAATTTTTATTTTTCCTGTGCATGTAATATGTTCTGTCCTCCTCACGTGTTTACTCATTATATTATTCAGTAGTCTTGTATATAAGTAACAAACCTTTTCTAAGGCATTAATCTTGTCTTGTGCACCGCCTTTTCCACCTGAAATAATAGCTCCAGCATGACCCATTCTTCGGCCTGGAGGTGCAGTCAATCCAGCAATGAATGACACTACTGGTTTGGCTTTGTCTCCCTGAGAAGCAAAAAGATTCAAATATCTTAATTAAGCTACATTTTTCATATATAAATTGATTGATTTTGGATTTCTGTATTTAATATATTTGTGGTAATTTAATAATTTTAGTAATATATAAAATCCAGGACTACCAACAAAGAATTTATAATATTTTCAGATTCCAGTTATGAATAATGGCAGGGTATATGGACACTACATTCATTCTTGATAAATTTGTGCCAGTATTTCTTGTTCATCAGTTTCAAGTAGTTCTGTTTTCTATACAAAGCCAGCAGATTTCTCAGTTTTCCATTACTTACTGTTCATCAGTTAATTTACTTGCAATAATTCTCTATTCTCTATGTACAAGAAGCAAACATTTTCTCCTTTCCATTACTTATATCCTCAAAATCATGTCCTGGCAGTTTACCTATGCTTTATTTCATTTCACTCTAAACGTGCAGGTCAGACATTTGAAATTTAATGCTTTGTATAATCCTTACTCAATGAAGTATCAGTTTAAAGGTTATCTGGGGAACAGTGGATTTATCCATTTAACATAGGAAAACCTCAGCCTGACATCCAACTTGAACATGAGAAACCAGGCAGACCACTTTCTTTCTTTTAACCCCATATTTGGCTGGACACTGGACCACAGTGTAACTTCATAGATTGGAGTGACAAGTGTATAGTTGAAAAATGCTGCTCTTTTCTGGGATGTGACACCATGTACTCGGGTAGAAATATACTTACATTTTGTAGGATTGTGCCATCATTTTCAGAGGAGGAAGTACATTTCTCTGATATGTTGAACTTCACCAGACTATGCGGTGGAATAGTCTTCACACCTATTTCCTCAAGAACCTCAAATATCAAGTCTAGAGAGTTAAAGCATGGAATGATGACTCGAGGACCAAATCAAAATTGAGCAGGTTCACTAACCGTGTTGTGCTGTAGCAAGTATTCAGAAGCCTTCTCTTCAGCTAGTCCTCCAATCTCTCCAATCAAGATAATACCTCTGGTTTCTGGATCATTGAGGAATACTTCTAAGCAGTCAATAAAATCAGTTCCATTAAAAGGATCACCACCAATTCCAAAACACATTGTCTGGCCTAGTCCTACCTGAAAGCATACATAAGAAGATCCAGCTCTATCCTTACAATGATGTCCTGCTGCCATTAAAGTTAACAGTTCAAACAAATATTTCAGATATTACTTGCATGTATTTGGGGGCACATGGCAACGTAGTTGGTTGACATACTATGCTATGGGCTATATTCCTGACGAGGTCACTGATTTTCTATTTACATAATCCTCACAGCCGCACTATGGCACTGGGATTGACTCAACCCCCAACAGAAATGAGTACCAGGGACATTCCAGGTCAGTAAAGGGCCACCAGACCGCAAGGCTAATATCACTGACATCTCTGACCCGAATGTCTAGAAAATGTGGGAGTATCGACGTCTCACAACCATATAGGCCTTCACAGCCTGTTACAGGATAGCTTTCCCTTTTACCTTGTGTGTATGATACACTACTATTATTCTCAATAAATATATTTCAGAGGCTTACTGCATTATATTTTATACTTCTGTAAAAAATGCCTTCTATAAGCCAACAACAGATTTGGTTAACACTATTCATTTTCCTTAAATTACATCTATATATACATGGTGGAATTAGTTTAAGTGAGTTACTTATAACTTTCTAGCCTAATGTATTCTACAGTATGTTACTGAGAAAAATTTGGAAGAATAGGGCTGCCCCCCCTCCAACTCTTCAACTTGATATATCATCAATTTTAAAACTGATGCAGATTTGATCACAAGTTACCACACTATGAGGTGGAAAAACGGTAAGATTTCAGTTGGAGGACTAACATAAAATAAATCAACACGTTTATGAAAAAAGCTTGTTTCAGAATCCAGAAGGTAACAATATTTTCTGACACAGAATCGTTGAGTCTCGATGCAAAAGTTCTGCAACAGCAGTCAGAATGAGGCATTTTACTACTATCAATTAAATGTTTTAAGCCATGGTATAACTGAAAAGAAATTATTCTGAAGAATTTTGATAGGGAAATTTTTTCACCAAGTTTTTGCTATAAGAACCGCTACTGTCACCTACTTTAGAAAAGAATGTGTTATTTGCGCTAATGAAATTTTATACAATGCAAGCACAACTGTGTAGGAATTTTCACTTGAGCATTCTTTCTTTTAATACAAAACTGAACACTTAATGGAACATTTTATTATCATGATTTTGGCTTTACACAATCAAACACCTGATGGTTGGAAAATTGTGAAAGTAACATGCCATGAGACTTGCTGTCCATTCAAGTACTCACAACTGCATTTTGAGCAGTGATACAGTAAGCCAAATACTCAACCACCTTCCGTCCAGGTGAATATCCCTCGTTATTCCCTGAACAACTGCTACTAGAAACCATACACACTTCATATGCACAAGACTGAAAGTACTGTAAATGGCTCCCACCTGTGTAGTTTGGTGCACAGCCTCATATGTTAGTGTTCCTGATCGTGACACAACACCTACAACCCCACGCTGATGAATGTGGCCAGGCATAATTCCAATCTTACACTGGAAACAGGAAACTGAGTTAGATATGATACACACAGTAGCATAGTTGGTTGAGGCACTGTGCTAGAAGCCTGAAGGCAGCAGTTTAGATTCATGATGAGGTCAACATATTTTTCAATTGACCTAATCCTTCCTGCAACACTATGGCCCTGGGGTCCACTAAGCTTCTGACAGAAATGATACCAGGAATCCTCCTGGGGAGTAAAGGGTGGCTGTCACATGGTACCGCCATCTGTGAGCCAAGTGTCTAGAGAGAATGCAGGAGCTTGATGTCTCACAACCCTATGGGCTCCCATGGCCTGTTACAGAGATAGTTTTACTTTTGTTTTTACTTGTAAGCATACAAAATATTGTGTCATGAAAGCTTAATTGATGTAACATTTAACGCAAACTCTACAGAAATGACAAGAAATGTTTCATGAAATTAGGGATAATGAAGAGAGTAGTTTACAGTGAGTTCAAATGGTGTAAGGGTGGGTCACAGCTTTGTTCACTTTCATGGTTGCACACTGTATTCAGCAGTTTTCTGAGTCACCTGGCACAGAAAACATTCCACTACAATGTATGTTACTTTTAAGTAATTTATAATTCAGACCGTGTGGAATGTTTAACCAGGAACGAATAATAGAGGTAGTTCCACAAACTATAAACCAAGCAATCTTATGTTTGATTTTGTACATTCAACATTCTGTTCCAACATTACAATCTAGATACTGATTGCTGCAAAATATGCCACAAAAATATTCTTTTATTTTTATTCTTGATTTATTTATGACAACTAATAAACAACTACACAATTAAATTTCTTGATGTAATTTTTTACTTAATTAGTTGTGAATTACTTTTTATTAATTATAGAAACATGTTCCTGCAAGTTACCAGTCTCACGTGTTTTAAGTATCATAATACAGCTCTCCGTTTGTTACACGTTACGGTGGCTGACTCACATGAACTCTTGCACACAATCAAGCACTTGGCTCTGTGGCTCTGGAATGTGGAATGCATACAGTACCAATTGGGAAGAATGCCAAGTGTGAACAGAAGCCATTTCTGTCAATTAAGAATGTGCCTGATGCCATCCCAATGAAACCTAAATCAGTGATGACAAGCCATTGTCTTCAGTTCAGAAGCTGGAAGCTAGTATGATTTATCAATTGACCAGACTGGTAGATTGGTAAAGTATCCACTTCCTTGATGTAAACTGTGTTAGGTTCATAACTGGCTTCCTCCTCTACTATATTTGTAACTGGGAGCATACTACATGCACTACATAAATTGAAATGATACGTCAAAACTGCACATTGTAGGGTCATTTCTGAAGAGCTGATAGTTGCTCAGCTGTTCAAGAAATCACCCATATTTATGAAACCAGACTGTTACTGTGCTCACAAAAGCCCACCACTGTAGGACCTTATCCTGAGGCAATATAAGGCAGTCTCACATTTACATTTGTCAAGCAGTAAGGTGAAGAAACCACCCACATTTATCAAACCAAATGTTCATTACTGTGTTCACAAAAGCCCAGCATTATAGACCCTATCCTGAGGCAATACAATGCAGTCTCCTTTTTCACATTCTTATTTCTTGAAGTTCAATTTTAATAATATCACCATACTGTGTTTAGATTTCCCAAGCATTCTTTGTTTAAGATCTTTTGACCAAAACTTTGCAAGTCTTCCTCATCTCTATGTATGCTACGTACCATGCCATCTCATCCTCCTTGGGTTCATCATCTTAATACTGTGGGGGAACAATACAATTAAGGAAGGTTAGTGCAGTGGATACACTGGAGAATGATTTTCAGGAGGTGCTTATTTTGAATCTGAAGCCTGAAGCACCAGCTACCCTGACCAAGGGTGACCAACAGTGTCTCAATTATACCATGAGTGTTGCATTCCAAAATCCTCTCCAGTTCTCCATTATCTACCATCCTACCATTTGACACTATACAATCTATAAACTGTCATAAAATAGCCCACAACAAGAGAAGAGTGCAAATTTGACCTTCATTGGTTCAGGCACCAACAGCTCAGTGGTACGCGTTTCACTGGAAGTCTCTGTCCAAGTTCAAAACCTGTCATTACTGAAGACGTGTCAGCATACGGAGTACATTAGAGGGGACAGAATGATAAATAGCGATTTAGTTTGTCAAAGAATATGGAGGCAGACAACAGAAAATATTTCATTACTGCTGGAACTAATTATGCTGAATAGCTACATCACACTATCATTCCCCCTCACTCACTGACACAATGCAGTAGAGTTCTTGAAAAGTTAATAATCACATAAGCAATCAACAGATCATTGGCATTCTATGGAATCTGAAAGTTCATTGTTGTGGTCAAAACAGCTCACCATGGTCCCTAGGCTGAGCCATATTCAACCAAATCCAAGGCCTTGCATAACATTTCATATGGTGAGTTGCTGGAGGATCACCTGACCACCCCTTGTCAGCTGCTTCTGCCTTGTTCAGTATATTCAGAACAACCCTTCATATCTGGAGGGTATCTCCTCCATTTTCATCATGCGGATGCACCATGTTGTGGTGACTAGGAATCCAATGAACATGCATGATGAACTTCCCAGCAAAGCAGCCAGAACAATATACAATGTGTCTGATGTCTTTCACTGGACCAGGAATTTTTACCACACCAGGGTTCAGTTATGCAGTGACTAATAGTGGACCATTCAACATCTTCTGTAAGCAGAAACTGGCCAGGTGTCGTTCCTCTCATAGCTAATAAAACTCTATTTACATCTATGATACCACATGCTTCTTGTTACCATATCTCACTAATGATGTGGTTGTAAAGAGATATTNTGTGGAACTCCTTCTGTGATACATACTATGAGTGGCATTTCAGCCTCAATAGCTTCAATAATAGCTTTTGCTGCACCAGGAGGTGGAACATAAATAACAGTGGCATCTGCTCCTGTTGCATCTTTTGCCTAGACACATGAAACTCAGAATCAAATGAAAGAAAAATCTATGTATACTTCTAGATAAAAACAAAACATTTTTATGGTCCCAAAGAAGATTAATGTTTTCATGTACAAAATTGAATATTTATGCTATTCCCTATTAAATTCATATATGTGAGATTTGTGGTTTCCACAGTGGTGACTTCAAATATTACACACATATGTACATTACATTCCGTAGATCCAAAGTAAGTCAGAAAGACTGTAGGATGCGGAACAAGTCATACAAATACAAAAGGCATAAATACAGTACAACTGATACACACACAAACAAAAGAAATAAATACGTCCACATATATAAGTCAATACTGTCAACTTATGTTATGTACATAACCTTTTAAAAGGACGAGTCATGTTTAGACAGTAGGAATTCATCAACAGAGTAGAATGAGTCTGTATTTAAGCATCGTTTCAGTACTAATTTAAATTGCGCCTTTTCATTCATTAGACTTTTGAGACTAGATGGTAGATTGCTGAATATTTTAATGCCAGAATAATATGTGCCTTTCTGAAAACATGTCAGGTTAGCAACCGGTCTATGGGGATGGCACTTGTTTCTTGTGTTAACACTGTGTACATCCGGATTGGTCTGAAAACGTTCTTAGTTATTTATAATGAAGCTTAATAATGAAAATATATATTCACATGGAAGAGGAAAGATCTTTAATCTCTCAAATAGCTCTCTTCAAGAATTTTGAGGTTTTATGCCCACCATAATTTTAACAATTTTCTTTTGTAATGTAAATACCTTTTTGCTGTTAGATGAGTTACCCCAAAATATTATGCCACACTTCATTATCGAGTGAAAATAAACTGATTTCAGTGTATCAATGTTGGTGACATGTAACAAAGCTCTTACTGCATAACATGCCACACTTAACTTTGGAACCAACTGATCGATATGGTATTTCCAGTTTAAGTGGTTATCAATTTGTGAGCCAAGGAATTTTGTGTGTACTGACTCTTCTATATAATTATTATTATATCTAATACTTAATGGATATTGAGGTGTATTATTTATAAATTTTATTATCTTCTGGAATGTGACACTATGTGGTTTGACAGATAAGTACAAAAGTTTCTTACACCCTTACACCCAGCAAGTTTCTCAAAAACGCTGTTAGCTAGTCATCAAACTACAAGTACATGTTGTCTCATCTCAGAAAACAGGTTCAAGGGTCCAAAATTATTTACCATGTAATATGGTAAATACATGACACAAGGCAGAATTACTTGACATACTTACCTCTTTCACTGAATTAAAAACTGGTAAGTTGAGGTGGGTTTTTCCACCCTTCCCTGGAGACACACCTCCTACAACTTTGGTTCCATATTCAATAGCCTGCTTACTATGAAATGTTCCCTGTTTGCCAGTGAAACCCTGGCATATTACTTTAGTAGCGGTGTTAAGTTTCAGGTTAGAACGAGTGGCTGTGTAATTTGTACGAACATTGTTCAATTTTGGCCCTGAAAATGATACAACCAAAATTAAACTTTGTAACAAAATTCAAAATGGCGTTCAATCTTAACAATATACGTCAACAACTGAACGTGACGTTTACAAAAAAAAGGTGTGGCGTAGTGATTCTTGAACTTTACTTCTTTATCAAAGGTTGGTTCCGTACTGCCCGGCCATTCAAACAGGAAAAAAGAACCCGCAAACACATAATTCTAACATCGCACAGAATAAAACAAATATAATATAATCGCACATAAAGCTCGTGACTTAAAAAAATACAGTAAAGCCGCATATGAAGGACTAAACCCTGTATTCTTCTGCAAAAGTCATCAAAAACAAGTTACAAGACAGAACCTTCATATATAGTAATACCACCTATTCAGTGCGTCGCCCTATACAGAAATATACACAAGCTACTCAAATTCAACGAAAGTTACTGAGCAAAACAAGTCGTCGTGTTAACATTTACCTGCCAATCTGTAAAACAACCTTATACTCGCCGCCATTACGTTCAAGGGTCAACCTGAAATTCACTCGTCAATTTTTTTTTTATGTTTTCGACAACATTCGCCTATATTCGTGCGCGTTCGTGTGGTTATCATAGCCTTCATTGTGTCGGACTGTATCGGACTGTATGATTTCGTTAGCAGATCTTACTTCGTTGCTTTACGGATTCATGTATGTTTGTTGTCCAGTCTTTTCTATCTTCGCTCTGCGATTTCTAACTAGCCGTATTCTCTCCTTTGAGTTCATATGAATTTCTTTATACAAGTGCTTATTACCAATAAAAGACAATGTATTCAGCAGAAGTATTCATAGCTTTCATAGCCTATGTAGTTCATGGCAATATATCTGTGAACTGTAGCATCACATTTTTGTAATCTGTGTGCACAGGTACTGTGGTTGACAGTATTGAAAGGCGGGGAAATGTTGTGCCGTGCAGAGAGCCAATCATCTTATCTGATTACCCGCAGAAGTCATTTCATTGGTTAGTGGATGTTGCAGAATCGAACGAAGTTCGTGTGTTGTATATTTCGAAAGTAACGGCCGCGTCTTATGGTGTTTGATTTTGTTTTGTAATTTTTAGTGTTATATTTTACCGGGTGTATTGATATATTTTTATAGGAAAATTTGTATAAGTCCCCGAAAAATGTCAAATAAACAGCAGAAGGAGAGGAACCAAAACATTCAGGTTTTTGTTAGAGTAAGGTGAGAATCCTTGTTTTATTCCAGAAATTAAAATGTATGTGTGCAGGATTTGAGGCTTTCACGACGGTGACTATGAAGAGCTATCTTCCGGGATAGGTGAACCTCTGCCGTGCTACACAGTACCACATCCCAGAATTTCTTTACATTCCTACACCCTCTTTATAGTACTAAGCCAAGGGTGCAGAACGTATTGTGATGTAAATACAAATGTATTAATAAATATGTAGAGACAGATACGTAGATGTTACGACTTTTTACAGAAATTATATCGTATTATATTATTTAGAGTAAAGTAATTACGTCAGAATTGTTTTCTTTATAAGCCTTTGTAGTAGCTTGCAGTTCTTTTGTAGAGTAGAAAGATTAAAGTAAGTTTTTTTTTCCTATTTCAGCCTAAATTACTTATATGTCTTAACTGAAACGTTTACTGGCGGATGGAAGTGTATTCGATAACTTGTTACCTACATATTACCGTTCAAAAATTTATTGTGATTAGAATTTGATGTATGGAAGCCATATATACGCCTTGTGTTTATATTGTACCTGTTACTTTGTTCATACTTCTCCATATTGTCTGCAATGAATGACAGTAATGAGAGAATTTTCTGGCAAAGGAAAAGTGTGTTACATTTGTGAAGTAATCCTCTACAAAGGGCTCTCATTTTAATACTTGTCTTTATTTTAAGTTTTCTTTTGGATAGTAAATAAATGGACCTTGCCTGATTGATTCATGTGACATGGTATAATGAAGTAAAGGAAAATATAGTTAATTTAAATTATTTATTTACATAAGTGATATGCTTTATCTATAAATCCTACCAAAACACTACTTCTCTTCCAGACAAAGCCATGCAGGCAAGAAAGTGAATTCTTATCCTAATAAGGAAATAATGTAAAAAGTACTAATTCCCTTGTGGTTATAATTGATAGTAACCTGAGCTCAGAAATACATACCAAAAGAACCTGAAGTAGAGGTAGCTGTAACTTATTTTTAATTAACAGACTATCAAAAATATAAGAAGAATGCTGTGTTGTGGTTTGATTTATCCCTTTCTGGCATATGGAATCAAATGGGGACATTATTCTAGTCATGTTAATTTCTGTGTCCTTACTTTTCTGTTCCATTTATGCTCAAGATTCATTCCCACTTTTCACAACTCCTTTTGTCTTACAGTGGATGGACAATTATTTTTGAGTAGATAGAAATGAAATGATGTGATCACCTCTCTTATTGAACCTAATGACCACACAGGGCAAAAGAGATGGACTGTGAAATGTAATTATACTATTCTATAAATAATTTCATTGTCTTTGTTATACTGAATACTTATTTAGGTGCAATGGTAGATAGCAAGAAAACTTGTAGGAGGTGGTGATGTTATGCAAAATTTTGAAAGCTCATATATTCCTTTATGAATGCATTTTCCCACTACTGATTGTGAAGTGTATTTGGTACAGTATACTCCCGATTATTGAGCATGTGTGGGGGATAGGATATTTAAGTTGCGTGAGAACAGAAATCCAATTCTCTTGTGATTTTACCACTTTCTGGTCTTTAGGTATTTATATTTTCTGTTCCAAAATCAAAATTACTTTGTATTTGTAGTAACTTTAAAAAATAACAAATTTTCTTTGAAGTGTTTGTTTGCACGATAATTGTAAATGTTTGAATGTCATAACTGGGGGTTTACTGCATGTGCATGCTAATATAATTTATGTAAACTACCTCCCTCCTACACTAAGGACCTCATCAATACCTATAATATTTGCAGATGACACTAGTGTTATAATTTCTGGTAAAAATTTAGATGATTTCTGCATGTTATCAAGCAAGGTTCTTTTGCAAATGAGTAAATGGTTTTCTGCAAACAAGCTGTCCCTGAACCTAGAAAAAACAAATGTAATAACATTTATAACAAAGAATTAACCACAATATCCATTAAACATAAGATATAATGATAAATATACAGAGGAGAGAGTAAACACAAAATTCCTTGGCTTGCAAATTGATAATCATTTAAACTGGAAAAACCATATCGATCAGTTGATTCCAAAGCTAAGTAGAGAATGTTATGCAGTTAAGAGTCATGTTACTTATTAGTGACATTGACACTCTCAAATCGGTCTATTTTTCTTACTTTCACTCTTTAATGAAGTGTGGAATAATTTTCCGGGGTAATTCATCTGACAGTAAAAAGGCATTTACTTTGCAAAAGAAAATTGTTAGAATCATGATGGCCATCAAATCCCATAATTCCTATGGAGCTCTGTTTAAGAGACTACAGATCTTAACTTTTCCTTGTGAATATATATATTGTTGTGCCCGGATAGGGGGCAGTGACTGTACTCACCCCCTATCGGACGTCCGTGGATATCACTTAACCTATGCTGTGGAAAACATGCTTCACTAGGAGGGTCACAAAAACTCGAGTTCTCCAAACAACAACAAAAATGGAATATAATCAAATTAAAACACTTGTACACCTCTACATTCTAAAAACACATTAACCCACCAAAATAATTGAAACCAGAAGTTCTAATAAGCCATCAGTGACCCGACCACGGGCAAGTACTCACACACGCTAAACATGATGCACATGAAAAAGACTGGCGCCATCCCAAGGTTTTCCACAGGCACACTTTGCTTTACTCATTCGTTTCTGGCAACTGCTAGAAACAGAGTGCCTGAAACGGCCTGTTTTCCCAATTCCAAGATTCAACTTTTTCCCAAGTTGCAAAAGCTGTGTGTGCGAAATCCCTGAGGTCGGCATCTTGCAGGACATGCCTTGTCGCGCTAAGGGAAACCTGACCGGGTCTCTCCACTGATGCTTAAACAGTCTTTTGTAAAGACAATTCGATCGACTGCCAAGGAATGCGAAGAGTCAGCCGCGGCTGTCTCCTTGCCTTCCGGCCAGCCGTCTGGCGTTTTAACATAAACATTCAATCTTACAAAAATTATACTTAATAACTAATGAAATTGGCTCAACAATATTCATTAATAAACTTCATTACAAATAACGAAGAACGTTTTCAGATGAATGCGGATGTACACAGTGTTAACACAAGACACAAACAAAGTCTTCATAAACCAATTGCTAACCTCTCATGCTTTCAGAAAAGCACATATTATGCTGGGATCAAAATTTTTAATAACCTGCCTTCTGATCTCAAAGGTCTTATGAATGAAAAGGCACGATTCAAAATAGCACTGAAACGATACTTAAATACACATTCATTCTACTCTGTTGATGAATACATATTGTCTAGAAAATAACTTATGTATTTTTAATAGCCTTGTATGTAGTCACTGTGTATTCTTGGTTTCTCTTGTGTGAGAACTCCATTGGGACTGTACATATGTTGTGTATTCATATGACATATTCCACATCCTACAGTCAGTTTGACTAACTTTAGATCCATGGAATGCAGTGCAATGTAATGTAATGTAATGAAATGTAATGCAATTGATACAAATGAAACAAACCAGCCTTAGTTGCTAACTTACATTTTGTAAGCACTTAGGTGTGTACAGATTAATGCTTTGAATTTTCCATTCCTTATTTGCAGCTTCAAACATGCTCACACTCCACTGACATTCCATACACATGGCAATATGATTGATACAGTTTTCTTTATTTTCAGACCACTGAATTCACTTGAAAAGAGCATGAAGTCCCTTAACATTGTTGACTGCCCGAACAACCGAGAAGTTGTCGTTAAGGAGCGACCTGTTGATAAAATTACAAGGACTTTTGGGTTTGATCGTGTTTTTGGGCCAAATTCCAGACAAGTTAGTAATGATTTTAGACATCCTTGTAACTGAAATTAAGAGAGATTTCAATGTCTGTTCATATTTTATTAGTTTACAATGAACTTCGAAGATAACGGTATTACAACCATGTGAAACCTGTATGGGTATCCCCTGATGTACAAGATAGCTGGGTTCCATAGATAATGTCACGTAACTTGGAATTTATGTTATTCCTTTGGCTTGACTGCTTTTAATATTCATTGCAAAACTGTTAGCTTTAGTACCAATATTTTTGTCATTTGTGAATCCAAATTTTCTTGCTTTAGGGAAGTGATTTCATTATTCTTTAGTCTTTGTAAAAAATGACTGAAGTAAATTAATGCAAAGTTGATGTAAGTATGGGGTTATCTCTATTTACTTCTTGGTGGTAACCTGTGATGATAAATTCAGTGTCATGATAATTAAAAAAACATTTCCACAGACAGCATCACACTTTCCTGGGGTGTGATGCTGTCTGTTCACCTCCATCTACTGCTGAGGACAAATATGGTGTCTTCATGGTGTGGGGCAACTTTACTCACACTAGATTCTGCAGATCCCTGTCTATTATGTGAACTGATTGAACAGTACCCACACACTCACTCACAGAGCTGAACCCTTCTTGAGAAGCCCCCAATTGTGAAGCTACTCAAGAATTTCCCAGCATTTTATGGAATCCGAAGGTTCATTAGAGACAGTGTTATGTAACTTCGAAGAAGGCCATGCATTTCCCGCATTCCTGCAACCCACCCCCTTGTCTGAAATTTTTCTTCTGTGCATTCAAGGTTACTCTTGGCGCTCTTGCCCTTGTTTGAAGTTACATGACACTTGCTATACCATGTTCACAAGAGCCTTAGGGATTGAACAGTGACAGAAAAAAATGAACTTATCATTTCCAGGCTCATATGAGAAGCCTGTCGTGATGGCCTAATAAACCTATCTGTTTCATTGTTAAAATTGTTGGATCCAAAACAGTGATTTTACAATTCTTCTTTTGCATCTGGGAACAGGAAGATATTACATAACTGGAATGGCTAATACTGTGATCTCATTTCTGAGTTTTTGGTTTATTAATAAACCCAAGAGTGATGTGTTTGTACATTATCCTGGAGTAATATTTATTCACATTCATTGAAATCAGATTTTTCTTGATTTCTGCAAAAGTGGCCTTTTCACCGCATAACACCATCTTCTGCTTTCATATTGTCCTCTTCTTATACATTTATTGTAAAGAGCTCTAATTTGATGAAAGAAAATAAAGATGCATAATTTTAGTGTAACTTAGTCTTTGGTAATTTGGGATTCAATTAATGCAGTGGAATCTGCTAGTGAATTAGTAACCATGAGGAATTAGAAATGAGGTCAATTCTAAGGGAGGTGATTATTACAAAAGGTCATGCCAGTATGTTTAAATAATCCTGCATCATATTTAGGAGGTGCCAGGCTTGGGTCTTCACCTGGAGGCTGACTATTGTGACAGATTTTTGGCTGTTGTGAGAATGCATTTTTAAATAAACAAAGAATCAGTCAAGAAGTGTATGATGTAATTTGATGGAAAGCTATGTGTGGTCTAATTCTGGAGATGCAAATTTGGACCTCTTTCTGATCGTTTCTCTCAGTTTCAGCTGAATTTTTAGATGTGAAATTTTGCACATATGATTAGTTCATGGAAATGAAGTTTTTGATAGAATGAAAGTCATAATAAGCAATATTAAAGTGGATCAGCAGGTATTCAGAATTTGTTCCTACTCGAATCTTCTTTTGTGTTTCAGATTGATGTGTACATGTCAGTTGTCCACCCTATAATTAATGAAGTTCTTGCAGGCTATAATTGCACAGTTTTTGCTTATGGTCAGACTGGTACAGGCAAAACATTTACAATGGAAGGAGAAAAGTCAAATGATGTATCTGTTTCATGGGATAATGTAAGTATGTTTATATTGTATATTATTATTATTATTATACAACCATCAACACAACAAATTCATAATAAATAAACTAGTATTACTGTATTAACAATCGTTTATTATGCAATTACAAGTAATACACTTCATGAAAATTGCCTGATGATGATCCAGCTGAATCAATACATGTATTATTATTATTATTATTATTATTATTATTATTATTGGAGGGGTGGGTTTCCCCATGCACCGCGACCAGTGGTCTATTGTACGTCCCCTCTGTGATATTCTACCTGTCTCTATACCCTACCCAATACTGGTGCGTGCCATCAGTCCCACCTCAGCCAGCGAGTTCGGCCTCTACTGGCTCAGCGGTATCTCTCGATGCTTCCCCCATCTATCAGAGGCATTAGAGACTACTGTTGGGCGGGAAATGTCTGGGACATGAGGTTCTTTTACATGCCGTAAAGCTACGACACGGGACCCATAGCTTAAAGTCTCTCCTGGAGGACTTGTTCCCTGAATTTTTCTGCCCTTAAAAATTCCACGACCTCCGCCGGGTTTGAACCCGTGTACCTTGAGTCATGAGGTGGGAACGTTACCCCTAGACTACGGAGGCCGCATCAATACATGTAACAAATATACATAATAAACGAATGTTAATACAGTAATGTTAGTTTATTTATTACAAATTTGTTGTGTTGACAGTCATTTAATAATATATAGGAGTACACAACCGGATACAAATAATAAATATGTTTATATTGGCCCATTTTATGTGCTCTGTGAACCAGCATAATACTCCTACTTTTGGAGAAAAGTTGTTGGAAAAATATTAATTCCATGTGTGTATATATCTGTGCATCTGTGTTCATATTTATATGTATTCTTTTCTTCAGGACCCTTTGTCAGGAATTATTCCACGTACACTGAGTAATCTGTTTGATGAACTAAGAATTCAGCAGGTTGAATTTACTGTCCGAGTGTCCTTCTTAGAGATCTATAATGAAGAACTTCTTGACTTGCTGTCACCTTCAGATGATTCTTCAAAAATCAGGTATGATGGTACTTCAGAAGTAGTACAATATGTCTGAGTGTATTTTATGATTAGATGGCATTGTACCCTTTGAATTTTATCCTCTCCAAAACTTTCAAGTGCTTATTGTACTTCAGACTGCCTCTGTGGTCTAGTGGTAAGAGTTCCTGCCTACAGATCCAAAAGTCCCTGGTTCGATTACCAGTGCTATCAGATTTTCTGAGAAGTAGTGGGTCTGGAATGGGGTCCACTCAGCCACGTGAGGATAATTGAGGAGCTATTTCAAGGAAATAGCGGCTCTGGTCTAGAAAACCAGTATTAACGGCTGTGGAGATCCGTTGCGCTGACCACATAACACCCTCTATCTGCAAAAGTTGGCACTAACTTTGCTGACAAGCGGTGATCGCTTGGTTGGTATAGTTCGCTTGTGGGCTACAGGTCATGGAGACTGTTGTACTTCAGAGCACTAAGAAAAATCTGAAGGTCAACATATGATAAGATTTATGGAGAAAATGAGAAAGCATTTTTCTGCAAGAGGTGCATGATAGGTTTCCTCAATTTTCGCTATTACTGTAATTGCCACCGTTACAAAGATTGAAGGGGTAATGGCGAATTATTGTACTTGACTTGTTTTGGGCGTACCCGCTGTTAGGGCGTGTGCCATGAAAACAGTAATGTGTAATCTTCAGGATACTGATGTGCATCATATGCTGGCACTTTTAATACTACTTTCCTATTTTTAAATTGCAGACTATTTGAAGATGCAACAAAGAAGGGTTCAGTTATAATACATGGTCTGGAAGAGGTGACTGTCCACAATAAGAATGAGGTTTATGCAATCCTGGAAAAGGGCTCCTTCAAAAGACAGACTGCAGGCACTTTGATGAATGCCCAGTCCAGGTGAGCTTGTCACACTTTGAAATAGAAGAAATTATATTGACTGTAATTCTTAAACTTGCATAATGGCAATAGCTTTTTCTTAAATTTCAGAGTTTCTTATGTCATGTCACAACATTTTTGTTTCAGTGTATAATATATAGTTCTTGCACTTGGCATGTTGGACTTAACAACTTGTTTTAGAGTTCTGTCTTATGGAATATAACACCAGGTAGCCCACAGCGAGAATCCCAGATCCTACCACTTTTCACTAAGCATGCGAAAGAATGACTTTTCAGCTCAAAGAGATTAAGATGAGAGTTTAGTAAGATTTTATAAGTTGGTTATTTAATGACACTGTCATTATTGAGACTCTGTGGTGTTGGATGGAACAATGAATGGTGAAAGGGAAAAGATTTGGAAGGACGCAGTTGTGGCCTATCAGAGGTACTAACTTTACTAGGCTTTATGTAGCTTCTTCAGTCTTGTTCTCTTCATTGTTCCTATTGTTTCTCTCACCCTCATTGTCTTCACAATTGTTTTGTCTCACAAAGTCCTAGGAAAGCTCAGAATTGATAAGATTTATTGCTGCAGCCTTATTCTTGCTGAACTGAATGATTATCAAGTGAGGGTTAAGCAGAGACATCAAAATGTGTATGCATTTCATAGTAACCAGCAACTAAGTATTGAGATCAGTTAAGCTACTGTACTCAAACCACTGTTACAAAGCACTTTGTAGAATAAGTGATTGTAGGAAGGTTTATTACAAAAATAAAATAGTAAAGCAACTAAAATAGATATGATGCTGGAAGTGTTCTGTAATACCTGGATCCAACATTTTTGTTTCTGGTGCCAAATAAACCTGAATCATGTGGAGATGATATAAAAATGTCATCAAATTAGTTTGTATGGTGAAGTTCCGAGCACTGGTTTGGCAACATACATTATCTAGTCCTCCAGAATCCTAAAATACACAATGTCAATGACAATTTCTTTCGGTAGCTCCGCATGTTGATTTTTGTAATATTTGTCTCTATGTCAACAGCCGTTCACATACAGTCTTTTCCATTACTGTGCACATCAAGGAGAATTCACTGGATGGTGAAGAGCTTCTGAAAACAGGGAAGTTGAACCTTGTTGATCTGGCTGGCAGTGAGAATATTGGTCGGTCAGGTGCTGTGGACAAGAGGGCTCGTGAAGCTGGAAACATTAATCAGTCATTGCTAACTCTTGGACGTGTTATTACAGCTCTGGTGGAGAGAGCCCCTCATGTACCTTACAGGTATTTAGAGCATGAGTGTTCAACATGCATATTTATTGTTTAATGATGTTTCCATTACTGAATGTTTGCCTTGCGTAGTTGATAAATTTGTATTCAAACATTTGTAATGTGGTAATTCATGGCTTATTATAAATGTTTTTCTTTCAGACATTTTATTTTTTAGTATGCATTATAAATTATGAGGCATTTAGAAAATACAGTCTTGGCTTTCTGTTGTATAATGCTAGCTCATGAATGTGAGCCTTTGAATGTAGGTTCACAGATTGAGGACATGAAAAAAGTATTCCATGGTGGAGATACTGGTGTTTAGTTGAACTCATTCACCACTGACAATAAAGCTCACCAACTCGCCACTGTGTGTCTGCCATGACAATAGGGGACAGAAACCACAGTATGGTTTGAGGATGTTGGGACATCAGCATTTCATAGCTGTGTTGCTGTTGATCTATGGCAGTCTCCTTCTCAGTTGCATCTGTTATTATTTTCTGTGTTTTGATGTGCCATTGCGAGAATGTCGGTGCTTGAATTAGAGCAACGAACAGACAGTAAATTTCTTGTTAAACTTGGAAAGAGTGGGAGTGAAATCAGAGAGAGGTTAGTGCAAGTTTACTGGGATAATGCTATGAAGAAAGCAGCAGTTTACAAGTGGGTGATACGTTTTTCTGAAGGAAGAGAAAGTGTCACTGACAAAGGGAGATCAGGGCAGCCAGCAATGAGCAGAACTGAAGAAAATATTGCAGAAGTTTGTCAAATTGTGTGTGAAAATTGCCGGCTGACTGTCAAGAGCACAGCAGAGCAAGCAAACATCAACAGGGAAACAGTTAGGAAAATATTAACCGGAGATCTTGACACGAGGAAGGTGTGCAAAAATGGTCCTGAAGGACCTGCTCACATGATATTGTCTGTGAGGAGTTTTTAGCTAGTAAATAAATGACTGCTGGAAAACCCTCCCTATTCAGTGGATCTGTCCTCCAGTGACTTTTTTCTGTTCCCAAAGATAAAGGGAATATTGAAAGGAAGACATTTGGATGACATTGATTACTCAGCTCTGAAGGCCATTCCACAAAACCAGTTCCAAAATTGTTTTGAAAGGTGGACTAATCACTGGCATCAGTGCGGTTTCCCAAAGGGAGTACTTTGAAGGCGACCACAGTGATATTCAAGAATGAGGTATCTAGCACTTTTACCATGATGAGTTTGCCAACTTTATTGTGAGACCATGTACAGTGAGAAAGATGGTATAGGAGTAACACTCTGAACTTGTATTTGGGAGGTGTTTCATTGAAGTTTTGGCAGATACTCTGGCTATCCTGAATGAGGTTTTTCATGTTGGCCATAAATCGTTTACTTGTTGAAATTTCAAGCTATTCAAGCCTTCCTAGTAAAGGATTGTGAATAATTAGAACCTTGCCACTTATTCACTGTATACAACATTTATGGAAATTTCATTTTTTGAAATTATATTATTTGTTTGAAGGGAGTCAAAATTAACTCGATTGCTACAAGATTCTCTGGGCGGCCGGACAAAGACCTCCATCATTGCAACAATATCACCTGCAGCATGTAATGTAGAGGAGACCCTTAGTACTTTGGATTATGCCTGTAGAGCAAAGAATATAACCAATCGACCAGAAATTAACCAGAAGCTCACAAAGAAGTCTCTTATCAAGGTAGGATCAAATGATCTGATGTATATGAATTTATGTTTACAAATGCGAGCATGTGTTTTTGCCTGTGCAGGAGGATGACTGTTTCATATGCTGAAAAGGGTTGTGTACAGTCTGAGTGTAACATTTGAAGTTCTTGATGTGATCTTAGATGATGAGCAAATGATTTCTGGATTTCTGAACCATTCTTGGCATCTTCTTTCTCTTGGTATGTTACACTTCTGCTGTTAACAGAATTTGTTTATACTTGTGTTCATAATGCTACAGTGACTGAAAGCCAGAAGAGGTAGCCAAAAGCCAGTAAACACACTCCCATTTTGACAAACACATTTGGGTCATCGCTAGGCAACAGCCCTCTTAACATGTCATGGAACAGTAGATGAACGTTGGAAGCAGTGTTTTCTATGTGGTCTGAGTCGAGGCTATGTAATGAGGACCATTGGAACGTTATACATGTACTGCTGGTTGTTACTTCAATGAATGTCAGACCTGTCTTCTCATCAGAGAGGGTGCCCCACATCGACAAAACTGAAACTGACAGTAACAATAATCTGATTTTGGCCACAAATGGGGCTTGACACTAAGACTGACTATATATAGTATTTCCACTCCTTTTACAAGACTGTTCACACCAGAGTAAATTCAAGTCCATTACTTAAAATGAAGTAAAATTAAAATTGAAGTGTGTGTATGTGTTTTGGACTGTAAAGTGACTGACATGCAGACAGAGTAAATGGGAGAATGGGATGTTAAAACAACCATATGGGTGAAGTAAAATAATTACAAGCATTTCTTTAAATTAACATGAAATGGACTTGGCAATCTCCCTACCATTAAGAAATGCCAGAACATTAGACATACTGCAGGAATCATTTCCTCAAGACACAGTTAAAGTAAAATGTTTGGTGGTTTTTGCCATAATGTTGCATTCTGTCAACACATGAGGAACAACAAGGGATACATCACACTGTGCAAATACATGCTGTATCACCATGAACAAATATGGATGTATTTGGTGCCTGTGTTGAGTCTGAAGTTGTGTAAGTATGACTTCTTTCTTCCTGTTCTGGTAGATCAAATGGATTGCCACACCTATGCAGATGGTTTCACTGATCACAGTTTTTTGTCCTGTGTATGAGTACTCATCATCATTGATGAAAGAGCCCTATTTGACCCATAGCCTTGCTTAGAAGTTTCTGCCAGATTTATCCAGTTTTCACTTCTTTCGATTTCACAACAGTAATTTCTCCGCAGAGNTTGCAGGAGGATGACTGTTTCATATGCTGAAAAGGGTTGTGTACAGTCTGAGTGTAACATTTGAAGTTCTTGATGTGATCTTAGATGATGAGCAAATGATTTCTGGATTTCTGAACCATTCTTGGCATCTTCTTTCTCTTGGTATGTTACACTTCTGCTGTTAACAGAATTTGTTTATACTTGTGTTCATAATGCTACAGTGACTGAAAGCCAGAAGAGGTAGCCAAAAGCCAGTAAACACACTCCCATTTTGACAAACACATTTGGGTCATCGCTAGGCAACAGCCCTCTTAACATGTCATGGAACAGTAGATGAACGTTGGAAGCAGTGTTTTCTATGTGGTCTGAGTCGAGGCTATGTAATGAGGACCATTGGAACGTTATACATGTACTGCTGGTTGTTACTTCAATGAATGTCAGACCTGTCTTCTCATCAGAGAGGGTGCCCCACATCGACAAAACTGAAACTGACAGTAACAATAATCTGATTTTGGCCACAAATGGGGCTTGACACTAAGACTGACTATATATAGTATTTCCACTCCTTTTACAAGACTGTTCACACCAGAGTAAATTCAAGTCCATTACTTAAAATGAAGTAAAATTAAAATTGAAGTGTGTGTATGTGTTTTGGACTGTAAAGTGACTGACATGCAGACAGAGTAAATGGGAGAATGGGATGTTAAAACAACCATATGGGTGAAGTAAAATAATTACAAGCATTTCTTTAAATTAACATGAAATGGACTTGGCAATCTCCCTACCATTAAGAAATGCCAGAACATTAGACATACTGCAGGAATCATTTCCTCAAGACACAGTTAAAGTAAAATGTTTGGTGGTTTTTGCCATAATGTTGCATTCTGTCAACACATGAGGAACAACAAGGGACACATCACACTGTGCAAATACATGCTGTATCACCATGAACAAATATGGATGTATTTGGTGCCTGTGTTGAGTCTGAAGTTGTGTAAGTATGACTTCTTTCTTCCTGTTCTGGTAGATCAAATGGATTGCCACACCTATGCAGATGGTTTCACTGATCACAGTTTTTTGTCCTGTGTATGAGTACTCATCATCATTGATGAAACAGCCCTATTTGACCCGTAGCCTTGCTTAGAAGTTTCTGCCACATTTATCCAGTTTTCACTTCTTTGGATTTCACAACAGTAATTTCTCCACAGAGAAAAGTCGTCAGCCTTGCATCCGACCCCCAGCCTGGAGATCCAGGTCCTTGTATTTATGTTCTCCAGTGACAAGGTGACCCAGTTATGCGCCCAGGGACTGGTTTCCATTTTTGTTGCCTTCTACAACCCGCGGGCTGTGGTAGAAGTGTTCTAACCTGCCTCCACATGGGGAGCTCATATTACAAGGAAAAGAAAAAAGCATTAATAAAGAGATGTGGACATAAGTGTGCCCAATCAGCAGAAGACAACCGATTTTCCTACCTTATAGCAGTAATTAACTTGATAATCTCAGTGGCAATTATGAGGGTTGGAACTTTAATACTGGCAACTATTTATTTACAACTGATACAAAATAGATGCATGTTTCGAAGTTTTACTGTCCTTCAGTGTAGTCACCAGCATTGTGTACAACCTGTTGCCAGCAATGTGGAAGTCGTAGGATACCTTTAGCAGCGCCTGNCCTGTTGTGTTGATAGTTCGAATGGAGCGGTCTACTGCCTGAAGAATCTCTGGAACAGTTCTGAAGCGAATACCATGAAGTGGTTCCGTCATCTTAGGAATCAAGTTGAAGTCACAAGGGCTTAAGTGTGGGGAGTATGATGGATGGTACAGCACTTCCTAGCCCCATCGATTGAACAAATCAGCTACAGTTTGTGCTGCATGCGGCCGAGCATTGTCCTGCAAAATGATGGGTGGGTTCTGCAGAAAGTGTCACCGCTTCTTTATCAAAGCTGGTCGCAGGTTGTGTTCCAAAAATGAACAGTAATACTGCGCATTGACGGTCCACTGTCGGGTAATGAACGGTATGCGTTAAGATATCACCATCGCAGTCGTACACGAGAATTACCATTTCACAT